ACCAACATAACCGCTACTATAAATTACTCCTCTAGTTTGTTATAATTATTAAGACAAAGATCGAACACTCAGAAAAAATTCCCGCGATCCGGCCGGATTCGAACCAATGCTCTTTGCATTGTTTTTTTAATATGTTTTATTTTTCTATATTATTATAATCTCCTTTAAACTCTATACACCTTGACCAGCGATATCCTAAGTACTTCAACGCATTAAAAAAGAATTTTTGTCAAACTGAAAAATAAGCCTCGGTGTCATTGACTTACAATTATATGGACGTCGGGTCCGCGCTAAAAAGTGTCCGCACTTGTAAGGCGCTAAAATCGTATACAGAGCGCGACAGTCTTCATTTGTTCTACTGACAGCGCGATACTGCGATGACATTACAATTTAAATTTCGAATAGGTTGACTTGGGACATTTTTTTCGTGGTTTTTGTATTAGACCCGTCGTCCATTTATTTGTAAGTCAATGCTCGGTGTCAACTACCACTTGCTCTTTTGATGCAAATCGGTAAAAATTCTGATAGAAAAAGTCAAAATGGGGCCAAATCAAGTAAATACGAGGAGTATGGCAATATAATTCGACAAGTTTTGATGTTCTGTGCCTCTACCACGAGTTTACTGTGACCATCGAGTATATAACCAGAAAAAAGACGAAATAAGGGCTATCCATCCCTGGCAACTCATCAGGCAAATGGGCCTTATATCACTTTTAAATATCAACTCTCGTTTGCGCCAAAAACACAAATTAGAAAGCTGAAATAGTACAGAGCCAACAACTGACCTGTGTGTCCGTCTCCGTATATTCCAAAAATATTCTGTATTTATTGTAATAAAGATAACATCCCTAACTATGGGGGGGGCTGTTCCATTCGGTGGTCGGGAAAAACAGCAAAACATCCAATTAAAAAACAAACGGTATCACATTTCATCGGTAGTTAAATATTAAATTAAGTAATTTTTCAATTTTCGTCTATCACGCCAAATCTCAAGTTAATCTGGTCGATTTGAAGTGAAACAACAGACGACACCCGTCAATTCTTTCGAATTCGGGCTGGCCAATCGGAGCGCAGTTGTCACCGTAATGTTTTGGCAGAATAGTTATCAAACAAATTAAATGACATTTCGTCTCTATTTCTAGCTATATACTCGATGACTGTGACACTTCACAATTTTGTGTGGCAAATTATATAGTGCCCCTAGCAGTCACAAGAAGAAACAACATTTTGTGAACAAATTTTTACGCGGTCGCTAGTGTTAACTATCACTGTAATCTCGTGACAGCAGCAATGATTACAGAATAGAAACGGAATACTCGAAATTCAGTTTTTAACAGACTTCAAAAAAAAGGAGAATGTTATTCGTTCCGCTGTATGTATGTTTTTCGATTTCTCCGTCAATTGTGGACCGATTTTGAAAATTCCATTTTTCGTGGAAAGGGTGCATTCTCTCAAATTTTACAGGCATTGCGTTAGTACATGAAATTTCTCCATCAATTTTTGACCGATATTGAAGATTTTTTTTTATTTCAAAAGGTGTACTCTCGAGGTGGTCCTTGATGCCGACGATGCTGTTCCGGGTTCGTTTCGGCTATCACAACTTAAACAAATATTTTCCGCAAACAAAAGTCGACTTTTCACTTGACACAACACATCTAATCAAAAAATCACCGTCATCATGACAACCAGAAACAAAAGTATAAAATGTACAAAGGATGTCACCAAGAAGTCATTCAAGAGGACATTCTATGGAAATCGAAAAAAACCGATAAGCAAGCTTTTGTATTCGATATATATTTTTTTTTCAATGAAAAGTTACAATTATATTACTTGTCTCAATCTTCAAACAATTAATCGAATGGACGACGGGTCTAATACAAAAACCACGAAAAAAATGTCCCAAGTCAACCTATTTAAACATAGTGACATGTAAAGGAATATGAAAAAGCTAAAACGTTAGATTTAAATTGTAATGTCATCGCAGTACTGTCTAATTTTGCTTGCTTCGCTGTCAGTCGAACAAACGAAGACTAAAGCGTGAATGACGCTCTGTATACGATTTTAACACCCTATAAGTTCGGACACTTTTTAGCGCGGACCCGACGTCCATATAATTGTAAGTCAATGATTTCACCTAATCATTTCTATTTTTTTTTGTTTTCGCGCTAATTTTAGAATAGTAAGGTCAGTTGCTTAGTAAGGAGTGCTTAATTAAGAAATAAAAAGAAATTCCGTAAAATGTTTTTAATCAACTTTAAAGTCATTTATTTTTCAAATCATATATTTTGTCTTATACCATTATTGTGATTTATATGTTTTGTAGATAAATGTCTTTTGTATTTTTTCTTTTTATCATTATGTAACTCGTATGTGGAATAGACTGCCTGCTGGCATTCGTGACAGTCCATCGGTGGCATCTTTCAAACATAAATTAAAAGAGCACCACCTGTCGAACGCGTTAGATAGCTAATAGGTAACATATATTATAAAGTAGTAATTTGTTTAGATTATAATATATATTCTGCTTATGTTTGTATTTATGTATATAAAGTTCATGTAGGTGTGTATGTCTGTCATATCTATATATATTATCATCCTTTATATGTATATATATGTTATTTATATTTAAATATATATTTAAATTATTATTTTTTTCTCACATTTAAATCTTAATTTTATTGTACAATAATTAGTCCCGCAGACTTCATTTTTCACCTAGGCCAGGGTTGGCTGGAAGAGATCTCTTCTAGAGATAAGCTCACCTTTGTATATGTCCTTTATAACTTGTGTTTCATGTATCTTTTCTTTGTGCAATAAAGAGTTATTATTATTATTTTTGTTGTAGTAGAGGTCCTTTCAAGGAGTTCGTCCTGGGAAGTACTGCCACCTTAATTATTTCTGCCAAACAGTTACCGTTACCGGGGTCCAGTTTTGAAGGGTGCTGGTGAAGTTACTGGCACGTGGGACTTGTCAACTTATGTCTCAGGGTAACGGGCGCAGTGGCAGTGCCCCTAAGATCTTGGCGATTTAAAGCTCTGAGTAGCACTGCAACTGTTATGGACAGGCGTGTCGCTTACCATCAGGCGCACGACTTGTTCGTCCCGTCACTTCTTATTACAAATAAATCACTCAAAGCCGTTTTGGGGTAGCAGTGTGAAGTTGACCACCCCAAAACGATTTTAAAAAAATTGTTCCCGGGTATACATACGTCGAGGGTGGTCAAACTAACGATCTGTATAGGTCGCTTCTGGGTCACGTTTAGAGGGTGGTCAACTTCACAGGAGTGACTTTTTAAGGGGAGCCTAGATTTTGAGATGAATAAAATCAGAACAGGCGGAAAAATTTGACACAGATCCGACGTCGACAAGCGCCCGATGTTGACTGACGGGGCAGCGGGCGGATGATTTTCAGCAAAGCTGAGTTCTTAACTTTTTCGTGCACATAACTTATTTGTAATTTCTATTAATCTACTATCATTGTGACTTCTATGTCTGGTAAAGAAATAAATATCTTTTTATTTTTTCTTCAATATGATTTAAAAAATACGCATTTGAACTTCATGTCACCTGATGGAATGTGACGATGAGGTCAAATATGGAGTATGCATTCTTAAATAATGCCTATTCACTCTCGCCTTGGAAAGGCCCAAGTTATAGTATTCAGGGAATTATTCTGTAGCCAAGGAATTCCATTCCATAGCCGTTCGCCGTAATAAATGTGCAAGCGTAACGCTTGATAATCGTTTGAATATCTAGAATATAGAGGTGAAGGTGTAGGGGAGACCGGGTACAAAAGTAACGGCGGGTCGAAAGTAACAAATGCTCTGTAGAATTGTCCAATAACCGAAACAACGCGCGCGACCGTTGAATATCAGCATTCGACGCCCCCCGCACTTGAGATCAGTCGCCGCGCCCGCGCTGCGCTGTTAGGTTGTGTTAGAGGACGCTACGTGATTTTACGAACCAAAAGTAAGTTTTTTTGTGTTTATTGATTTAGTATTTTCGTAATGTTCAGATGATGATATCAACCTGACTATTTGCCTTGCAATTTGTAATTATATTGTCCGTAACATGTTATAAACGATTTTTGTGCAACACATTTAATTTTAAAGTACTGACATATTGCAACAACAAATCGTGGTTGGGTACAAAAGTAACATAACACGACGAGGACAAAAGTAACATGTTACTTTTGTCCCCGTTGAATCATGATATCAGTAAGTATGAAAGTCTTTAATTTTTTTTATTGTTTTGCCGAAACAGAATGCCGCGGCAGCGATTAGAAAAACAGAGAGAGGCACCACTAATACAGCAGTCTATAAAAAAGCAGCAGATGAGCATTTTCAGGACAAAACGAAGATAAGAGCACTGGCAAAAAAATACAACGTATGCCACGTAACATTATATAGATTTATACAAAAACTTAAATCAGGGAATACTAATGTAAAAGTTGGCTACCGTTGCGTCAACCGTGTTTTTACTCCTGAAGAGGAAAATGTTTTACAGGACTATATTATTGAATGCTCCAAAGTATACTTCGGATTGATTCCGACTGAAGTGCGGAAGTTGGCGTACGAATTAGCGCTTAAATATAAAAAGAAATTTCCGGAGAAGTGGAATGAAAATCACACGGCGGGCAAGGAATGGTTAGCTGGATTTTTAAAACGACATCCCATCCTATCTCTGAGAAGCCCACAGGCAACGAGCCTGTCTCGCGCCTCGAGCTTTAATGAGTATAATGTAAACAAGTTTTTTGATAACCTATCAGAAGTTATGGATAGGTATAAATTTGAGCCAAGAGATATATGGAATATAGATGAAACAGGGGTGACGACAGTCCAAAGACCTAACAAAATAATATGTCAGAGAGGAATTAAACAAGTAGGCGCAGTGACGTCTGCCGAACGTGGGAGGTTAGTAACTGTTGCTGTTGCTATTAATGCTCAAGGAGGACATATACCTCCATTTTTTGTATTTCCGTTGAAGCGATATCAAGACCACATGATACGTGAAGGTCCTATTGGATCTGCTGGTGCTGGAAATGCTAGCGGCTGGATGCAAGAAGCAGAGTTCTTGCTGTTTTTGGAACACTTCAAAAAACAAGCCAAACCCACTACTGACCAAAAATGCCTGCTCTTGCTTGACAATCATGTATCACATGTATCAATTCATGCCCTCGATTATTGTAAGATAAATGGAATAGTGTTGCTGTCATTTCCTCCCCACTGTACACACAAATTGCAACCCCTGGATAGAGCGGTGTTTGGACCATTCAAGAAAATGATAAATACTGCTACAGATAATTGGATGCGAAATCATCCCGGTCAAACAATGACTATACATTACATTCCTGGGATTGTCAGAGAAGCATTTCCTCTTGCCGTCACCGATAGAAATGCTATTGCAGGTTTTACCTGTACTGGTATAAGTCCATTTAATAGGAATATCTTTTCCGCGGTTGACTTCGCACCGTCTTCTGTAACAAATCGTACCTTGCAATCTAATAACGAAATTCAACCGTCAGCCATCGAAGTTGATCGGATGATTGAAGCAGATCACCTTCCAGAACTAGGATCGAGTAACAAACTTAATGCCCATTCAATTAGATCTAACAATCCCGAACTGGAAACTCTTCGGAGTGTATCGAACATTCAAACAGATGATGGAAATCAGTTCTTAAACCCTGCTAGCTCACATCCATCACCAAGCTCGCCACAGCCAGGACCTAGTGGACTTCAAGCATCTTTTACACGGCCAATTAATTTCTCACCCCAAGATATAAGACCTCTACCGCGAGCTGGTATACGATCCGGAACAAAAAGAGGTTATAAAAAGCGTAAAACTGCGATACTTACTGACACTCCCGAAAAAAGAGCAATTGAAGAAGAATATAACCAAAGAAATAAAGCCAAGAAACCAATATTCCAACCCACTACAGGAAAAGGCAAGAGAAAATTACAATCTGCAAAAGGAAAAGGCCATGGAAAGAAGACGAGGAACCCTCCTAGAAGCAAAGGAAAGGAGAACCAGACAACAGCAAACAGCAATTCTTCTGATGACGAAGATTGCTTTTGCATAGTTTGTTTGGAGTTATTCAGCACTAGCTTACCAAACGAGAAGTGGGTACAGTGTGTTGATTGTAAAAAATGGTCTCACGCTGCGTGCACCAAAGATGATTCATATTACGTTTGCCACAATTGCGAGTCTGAATAGAAACATGAACCTCATTAAAGTTGATCTCATTATGCCTAAGAGTAAACTATTATTTAAAAAGAAGAAGATATTAAGTTCTTTGTTATTCTTGAGAAGAAATATTTTGTTTCGTTTTATTTTATCTCTTATATCTCTAATAAATAATATGATTTAATTTTGTGTTTCAGTTTCATTATACATATAATATTGCACAGGACCCCCTCGGTGTTACTTTCGCCCTGCACTGTGTTACTTTCGTCCTGACCCTCAGGACGAAAGTAACAATCGACTTTTTTTTTTGCAGCTTTGTAATTGTTATAAAAAAAACATGTATGAAATAAAATTATAATGTACGTTTGTAGAGTATAGACGAAACTTGTGTAGAGTTAAATTAATTTGATCGAAAATTTGATTGATAGCCAGAAATCAAAGAAAAAGTGCAAAGTGTTACTTTTGTACCCGGTCTCCGTAGTGTTTATTTATTTATTCTTATTTAAAAAGTATAGTATTCGCACGCCTCATGGAAGAATGGCATAAGCGGAATTACGTCAAACATTTATTACTCCATCAGATATAGTAAAATATAACCCACATTCTCTCCAATGGAAATTAGATACAGAAATATATAACACACATCCTCTCCAATTGGATCTTGTATCTCCAATTGGATAAACATTTTTGACGTAATTCCACTTATGCCGTTATTCCATGAGGATTAACCGATTTAATAAAATGAGGAGTTTCTGAATTCGCCTGTATTTTTTTGTGAAAGAGGGTACCTCTGTGTTGATGCTATTTAACTTTGACGAAAATATTCTACTTCTAAGGGTGGCAAACTAGGATATGAATCCAGTTTCGCGCACAAACTTGGTGAATAGATGTAATTCCACGATCTTTTGAGGTCGGTTCTTTTTGTACTCTGTACACTGAGATAATTGTTTATGATATTATGTTAAATCTACATAAGAAAATTATAATTAAAATAAATGTTTTGAGACGTAATCTTATCTCAAACATAATAACTCAAATTTTAATTACGTGTTCTTCATAAATAATACTGACTATAGAACATTTAGGAGCATTAGAGTTCCTTGTGAAAACTTTACCTATTTCTGCGGCCACGCAGTAATGTGAACATTACTGCGTTCCGGTTTTGAAAGGTAAGAGTGCTGGCGAAATTACAGGCATATGGGACCATGTGGGACTTGTTAACTTATGTCTACAGGGTGACAGGTGCATTGGTAGCGCCCCTCAGATCTTTATGATTTAAAACTCTGTGTAGTGGCACTGCAACTACTATGGACAGGCGTGTCGCTTACCACCAGGCGCACGACTTTTTCATCCCGTCACTTGATATAAAAAACATCGGTTTTGTGCCCGACTGCTTTAGCCGGGGGCACTTGACATTATATATTAGCGCTCTCGCTATATAGCAACCTTTTAACTTAGTTGTCACGCGAGGGAGTCACGAACAGCCCTGTTTACCAGAAAATACCGGTTTATATCATAATTACCGCTCTTTATGGGTATTCGCCTAATTAACCACAAAAGGCGGGGCCTTTTTTTATGGATTTTGGCCAAATATATCTCAACCTTTGCTTAATAAGTCCACATTTGCAAAATGAGAAATTTTCTGAAGAGAAGTTTAAAGAGAGAAAAGAAAAAGAACAAAATTAACTTGTTATTTATTAACTTAATAAAGAAACATACAGGCAATGTGCAAAAGTGTTATTATGGATTTTGTTAAAGACAAAGAACTCTGATCTCCTTATATTAAGCTCTATAATTAGAATAATTAGTATATAGATTCATTATTCTATTGATACTGCAGTACTTTATTATGACATTTTATTATTTAATTTGTTTTTCAATTATTAAATATTTTTAAGTCTTAGCTACGCCCTTACAGTGCACATGTAATGTAATTTTATTGCATGTTCTTTAATACCAGAAAGAAAATAAAAGCAGAATTATTATTAAGCAGAATATAAAGCAGAATAAAATAGGATCCCCGCGGCAAGGTGCCTAAGGTGTTAGCGGCGTTCCCCCTTTGTATGCCTGTGCTAATGCATTGGGCAAGGTAGCTTCCGGCCCTTGGGTTTCCCAGACAGTCTATTAATTTTTTAGATAATATTTTGATGATGAAATTAATTGATAACATTTTTATGCTAGGGGGATATACAATTTCACATAATTATACACATGGTTTGTTTTATGTAAATATGTGTACTTTTGAAGTAGGGAAAATAATTAAATAACAGAGACGATTTTGGTACTTTGTTTTATGACGTCAAGTGTCGGGTAGAACAAGTCGTACGTCAGATGGTAAGCGCCACGCCTGTGACCATGTAACCTCCTTCCACTTCTACCTTCGACTTGAAAAAAAATAGCAGGTTCTCAATTTGACTGTTTTATTTTTATTTTTTTTTGATGAAATATTGAATGAATTTTCATGATTATTTTTTTGTTGGAAAGGGGGTACTTCCATAGTGGTCCCATTACATTTTGAAAAAAATCATCCACATCTAAAGGTGGCTGATCACGCATGAACATTCATTTTTATAAATAGCGCCTAAATTTTACTTAAGGAGCAATTATTTTAATGGTTGGTTTTGCTATTCTCCAATTCAAGGCGTTTTTCTCTCTCAATATACTTTGAGCAGTGAGAAACGATTTTTATTATCTCCTGTGTCAAGTCGTGTATAGTGGCGAATTAGGGGATATTTCAATAAAACTTGGCAAACAGATGTCGGTTTTTTTAGTACTCTGTACTGAGATTATGTTTCGTTCCGCCGTTACTCTCTGCTCGTGCTGCTCGTCTAATTTTGATACTTTTAGGAGTTCCCAACGTACGTCATGTGCCAATATAATACCAATCTAACCTAGTAATATTGTATAACTCGGCCCTTTCGGGGTAAGTCTGTCTCGCGTTTTTAGTACTTTAGTAGGGAGTGTTTTGTAACGTTGTACCTGTTCTTTTATACCCTTTTCTTGTTACAGCC